GGGCGGGACTTGGCCGCGCGGCGATTGGCTGCGTCCGCCCATCCCCCCGTTCCCATTGGCTGCGGGGCCTTGCGTCACAGCCCCGCCCCCAAACCCGGTGGGGTGCTGCCCCCCTCCCCCCCATTTTCCTTCCCAGGGGTGCTGCTCCCCCCCGGTCCCCATCTGTTCCCCCGGCACACAGCGGGGTGCTGTCCCCCCGCGATGCTTTTCCCCTCCACTCTCCTGCACACCCTGAGGTGCTCCCCCCATTCTGGGGTGCTGCCCCTCCCCATTCCCCTTCCTCCTGGGGTGCTGCACACCTAGTCACCCTTTCCCCTGCACACACTGGGGTGCTTTCCCCCCGCGTCTGGTCTCCCTTCTACCCCACGCTGGGATGCTGCCCCCCCCCCCTTCCTCTCCCAGGGTCTTGCCCCCACCATACACACCCTGGGGTTGCCCCCGTCTCCCAGGTCACACCCCTTCCCGCACTGCCCCCCCCTCCCATCCCAGGCAGTCCTCCCTGCCTCGCACCCTCTGCCAAGGGCAGGCGCCGGCCCAGCGCCGCCGGTAACTTTCCACTCTTCAGGCTCCAGTTTCGGGCGGCTCCGTTCACCCAATCGATGGGCCGCTGCCTGGCACGCCATGGGCACAGGAGTGGGTAGTGTCCCCCCCACCCAGGACAGGGGCGGCCCTGCTGGGGGGTGCAGGCTGGGGACAGTGCGCTCCCCTGGGCAAGGTTGCAATAGCCCCTTGTCTCTGCAGCCAGGGATATTGTCCAACCATGTCACACGGTGTCAAAAATGCAGCAGAAGTGGCTTTTTGGGGTGATTTGCAAGTCGGGTTTTGGGTCAGCATGGTGATGCAGGTGCTGCTGCTCGGCTTCTCCCAGCTGCTGCCGGGAGCTTTATCTCTGCTCCCCACTCGGGTGCTGCTTATCAGGGACCCTCCGCTCGCCCCTCGCTGCCGCTGCTTGAAGTCCCCATCAGCACGAAGCCCCTTGCAGATTGAGCAGCGAACTTCATATCTTTCATACAAAAGCTTCAAAATACTCCGCTGCAGCCCGTGGGGGTGGGCGGCGCTCCCAAAGGTGCGGAGCAGCGGTTGTTTTCAGGAGTGGCTGGTTTCTCCCCTGGGCTGTGGTCCAGGCTCGTTCTGCTGCGTCCCGGTGGGGCTGAGCTGGCACCAGCGTGGCCCAGCTGAGCTGGTGCCGCCGGGCTGGTGTGGCTGCACTTCTTGGTCTGGCTGTGCCCGTGCCAAGTGCTTTCCTGTGGTTGACCACTGAGGGCTTTTGCAGGCAGGCTCTGCCTGCACCTGTATCCTGCCCGCTCACAGTGCAGAGGCAAGTGAAAGCGGTTTGTGAGGTGCCTGGGCTGTGCTGGTTTCCCGCCAGAGCACATTTGGGGATTACATGTGTGGGACTCCTTGCTAGATGAGCTCTGCCTATGCTGTGTGGGTCATTCTCACCCAAGAGAGCTCAGCAAAGCCACCCATGGCCCCCAATGCCACCCTGCCCGAGCCCCAGTGAGATTTGTTCCAACAAATGGGCAGGGCTGGTTGGAAAGTCATCCTGGAGATCACCCAGGGATGTCTTGGAGCTGGGAAAAAACCCAGAGGAGGCATGGGGTGGCATTGAAAGAGCTCTGTTGGACCCTGGCCCATGCCAAGCATCGCTTTCGGTCCTCCTTGGCTCTGTTCAGGGGCAAAACCCCAAATTACCGGTGCTTCTGCCAGGGATAGTGCCGAGCTGGCCTGTGCATGGTTGAGAGGGTGCGTGGTCAAGGGCTTGTGGCTGCTGGACTCTGGAGCTGTGTCCTTCCTTTCCATAAGCACTTTGGTGGTTTAGCCCACAGCCAGCTGGGAAGCAGAGCTACAAACCAGATGCAGCCAGCAGGTTTTTTGGGCTCCTGATGCCATCTGCTGGTTTTTTCCCCTGGCAGAGCAATGCTGGGCTCACCAGTGCAGCTTACTCTTGTGGAGCAAGCTGGAGGTGACAGCAGGGAAATGCCCTTTCTGCCCCAGCGATGGGCCCTGGTCTCTTCTTGTCACAGGCTTTCTGACTGGGAACAGCAATGCAGCACGTACAGGCACTGGCTTATCCTCCAGGCTCGTCCCTGCCCTACCCTGCCTGGGCGCCAGCTTGTCCCGCGAGTCCTTGGCCATGTGCTGAAGGCTGCTGACAGGTCCTGGTGACACAACTGGAGAATGGTGACCTGCAGGCAGCAGATCCTGGACGCTTCTCTGCAGCATGTGGGCTGAGGGCATTGGGGTGACTGCAGCCCTGGGCGGGGTGTGGAGAGGCAATGCTGCAGCCTGGCAGAGGCTTCTGTTCCTGTGGGGTGAAACAAGGAGCCCCCCAGTAGTGGAGGTGGTTGTGGTCCCCTTGCAGCCCTGGGGCTATTGCTGGCCCATGGGCATCCCACACCAGGAGATGGGTTGGGGTTGCGCTAACAAGGGGAAGGACAATCCTGCCCCCAAGCACTGTCAGACACCCTGAATTGCTTTGCCACGCAGCACGTGGACTTTGCTTTAGACTTCTAGAGTTTTCTTGTGTGGACACCTGATATCTGCCCCAGCATGGGATTATGATCCAGTCTGGCCAATCAGCCTCTCAGAGCAGCCACCTCCCCTTCTCCTCCTGCTCCCGGTGCTCTGCCCGCATGTACCGTGGGTCCCTGGGATCACAGGGTGGATTTTGTTTAGCTCAAAGCTGTGCAAGGAAGTCCTGCAGTGGTCCTGGGCTGGTGCATGCTGGCAGCTCATGGGGCAGGCTTGAAGTCTCTTCTGCCAAGAGCTTCGCTTTATTCCTACCTGCAAGGTTTTAATTGTCACCTATAGCACCGATCTGGGCTTCATGTCACCTTGAGTTTTTTCTTGGATGTGGTAATTCAGAGACAGCTTCTCCCTCATCTTCCCTCATCCCCTTTGCCAGACCTATTTGTTGATGAACAAAGCAAATACACTGCATTCATGGCACCCTCCTGGTAATCTCCAGGGTGAAATGGAATGTTGCCTACTTATTTCTAACAGGGGAACCTTTGTGCTTCTCCTGAGATGGTTTATGTGAGCCTGATTTAAAAAAAAAAAAACACAACAACAACAAAAAAAACCACCAAAAAAAAAAAACCAAACCTTCCTGAAAGCCTCAGTCTGCTGTCAGCCAGATGACCATTCTCAGCAATCCAGCAGGCTGCATCGAGTGTTCGTAACCTGCTTTGCAGCCCTTGGAGGACCTGCTTTGTGCATGCTTTGGGTGAGTGTGACCTCCCAGGTCCTGAGCCTGCCTTGCAGGTGGCTCCTTTCTGGTTATAGCCTGCAGAAGTGCTTGTGCAGTGCCTGGAGATGTGCCCCACGCTGGGAGACTTGCTTTTGGTTTGCAGAAGGGGTGGCCAGGTATAAACTGGGTTAAGTGGCACTTGGTTGGTGTAGGAATGGCTTTGCTGGCCAAGACTAATATTGCAAAGAAAGCAGATGATATGCAGGAAGAGCTATTTCTTCAGCTGGAAGGAGATTCCTTTATTTTGCTTGACACAGAACAATAAAGCGAGCACCATGGCACTGCTTTGAATGCCCCCCTCGGGGATGAAGGGCTCAGTGCAGTCATGCAGCAGGAATGCTGCTGGACAGAGTGTGTTTGTCTTCAGGAACACAAAACGCTTCAAATTCAAGGGTGCTGTTTGCTTATTGAGTTGTGTGTGTGCACCCTGGATGGATCAGAGGAGGGTTTGCTCCCTGCCACTCATCCCCAGCATGTTGGACTCCAGTTGTGCTTTGGGGCTTGGAGCCATCCTGCTGGGCTGCAGCTGGGACGTGTCCACAGGACCCATCTCCCTCAGCACATACTCAGAGCTGCAGCAGTGTGTCTGGCTGAAGCCTTCCCTGGCACCACGCTGCCTGCTCCATGGGGACCTTCCATCCACCGGGGGCTTTGCTGTCGCATCCCACCCCTGGGTACGATGTCTCCCCCTTCCTTTCCTCCACCCTCTGTATTCAAGGGCAGAAATCTCCTTGACCTGTCCCCAGGGTAGCAAAATCACGAAGCAGAGCCTGCTAGAGGTGGTGCCTGCTGCTCCCCCGAGCTCCAGCTGCTCCTGCCCCGGTTCACACCGGGCTTTGCTGCGCTTTGAGCAATGCGGGGCTGTTCCCACCTCTGGGGAGCAGGAGGCAAGGGCTTGTCTCTGCTTATTTATGCTTCCAGCAGCCCCTAATCCCTGTCACAAGGTTTCAATGTGGGACAGTATGTTCTAGGACCGTGCCACGTGCCTCTCTGCTCTCGTGCGAGCTCTTTGGCTCTGGACACTGGTTTTGCTGCTTGCCCTGCCGTATGTGATCACCCTGTGATCCCAAGGACCCATGGTACATGTGGGCAGAGCACTGGGAGCAGGAGGAGAAGGGGAGATGGCCACTCTGGGAGGCTGATTGGCCAGACTGGATCATAATCCCACGCTGGGGCAGATATCAGGTGTCCACACAAGAAATCTCTGCTGTTGGGCACAGCCAGTTTTGGGACAGTGACCCCAAGGCAGAGATCTCCAGGAGGACAGGGCTCTGCTGTCACTCAGGGCTGCTCTCCAGGAGCTGGCAGTGTTTCTGGGTGAGACCCCAGGTCTGTGAGCTGGGTTTAGGGTGTCAGAAAGAAGGCTTAGCTGCTCAAGCTCAAAAAGGATCTCATGACTTGGCCAGCATCCCCTGGGCTGTCAGAGCCTTGTTATCTCTGGCAAAGTGCTTGAGCTTGAAATTACACCTGAGCTCAGCTGGAGATGAAGCTGAGACCTTGTTTGTAAGCTGTTGGCTAATACCAAGGCACAGAGAAGTGCAGGGCATCTTACTGCTGGATGCAAGGAGCTCCTTGCCTCATGGTCTGGCAGCTGGTGCCTGCAGGGTGGGAAGGCGTTGGGCTGAGGCTTGGTGCCACCACAGTGAGTACCATGAGGCTGGGTGCTCCATCTCCAACTACATTGGCCCACCAGAGCTGACCTTGTCCTTGCCATGGAATGGGCTGTTTGGGAGCAGCTCTGGACCCTGGGATGGAGCACCCTCCCTGTGCTGCCTTAGGCCCTCCAGGTAGTACTTGCCTGGATGTTGAAACCCTGTTGCCTTCCAGAATGGGGTTTGGGGCATCTGACCTGCCAGCAGAGCTCATGCTGAGCAACACTTGTTCCACTGTCAATGGGATGGCAAGGGAAGAGCAGGGTCCAGTGCCAGGCTGGCAGCAGGGGAGCCTCAGAGCTGCCCTGGCCACTGGCGGGGGGTTGGGGGGGGTTACTGACCTCGCCCTTATCTTCCCTGTTTCTCTTCTTAGCTCCTGCACCTCTGCAGCCGAGAAGGAGATGGGAGGTGAGTGACCAGGCCTCTCCTGCTAACAGGAGGTAGCCTGAAGGTCCAGCTGATCCAGGCTCTGTGGGCCTGGTGTGAGGGAAGGACCCAGCTCCCACAGCCTCAAAACATGAGCTGAATGAGGAACTTCTTGATTCCTGGCCAACCTTGCTTCTCAGCAAAGGCTCCTCTGCTTGGGCAACAGAGCAGGCAGGGCACATTGCAGCCTTTGGGGGCTCTTCTGAGGTCCAAACCAGAGCCCCTCTCTCCCCTGCACCCACAGCAGAAGTTCCTGGGGAGGCTTGTAGGAGCTTGGCGGCGCTGCATGGCCCATCTCCATCCTCTTCCACCCCAGGAGCAGAACAAAGGGAGAAGCAATACCGAGCCCATCGGGGATTTGGGGATCGCCGCGATGGGGTCATCAGTGCCCGCACATATTTCTATGCTGACGAGGCCAAGTGTGACCAGCACATGGAGACTTTCCTCCACTGCATCGATGCCTCAAGTAAGTACTCCACATATCCTGAGCATCCCCACTGTGCTTGGGGACTGCAGCAGCCCTGCAGCCTTCCACCCTATCCTGGGTGTCCCCCTTCTGCCTGAGCACCCTGCCTGTTGGACTTAAGCTGTGGCTTTGTGGCTCCATCCAGGTGGCAGCTCAGAGAACGGCTTCTCGGCCATCAAGCTGACAGCACTGGGCAGACCTCAGTTCCTGGTGAGTGCCAGGGATGTGACCAGGGTGAAGTGGGTCAGAGCCAGGGCCATGGATGACGCATCTGTTGGGGCAGGTGCTTGGGACGCCAGGCTTGCTGCAGTGGCATCTCTACTGAGGGCAGAGAGGAGTGGGCACCAATGGTCTGTCCCTTGTGTGCCCAAGACTACCCCAGAAACACTACCTCAACTTTTGGGGACACATGAAGAGCTTAGAAGTTTAAAGGTCCCAGTGTGAGGGGGTGGTGGGTCTGTACTGCTTGGCCAAGGTGCCCTGCTATAGGGTCAGGGTCTGCCTCAGGGTATGATCTTGCAAAGCTCGGGCATGATAGGAGGCTCCAAGCCAGCTGGGCTCCAGCCTGTGTGTCTCACCTCAAGCTCTGGCCTCACAGCTGCAGTTCTCAGAGGTGCTGGTGAAGTGGCGGAGGTTCTTCCACCAAATGGCTGCGGAGCAGGGCCAGGCTGGGCGGGCAGTGCTGGAGATGAAGCTGGAGGCGGAGAAGCTGCAGGTGAGGAGGGTGATGTCTGAGGGAGGAGGCTGTGCTGCTGGGAATGTGCTGGTGGAGGTGGCTGGTGGCTGTAGAGGTCCTGGAGCAGCCCTGACCTGTGACACCTCTGAGCCTAGAGCAGTATGACCCCTGTAGCCCCTTAGCACTGATGCTCCTTTTGGTGACAGGAGGCCCTGGCCAACCTTGGCATTGCCACCAAGGCGGAGAGCCAGCACTGGTTCACGGGCGAGAACCTGGGCATGAGTGGGTAAGCTGCCTGGGACCTGGGGGGTGCTGCAAGATGGGGATGCTGGGGGACCTTGTCCCTGTTCCTGGGACAGTGGGGTAGCAGTAAGGGGAGGTCTCCAAAGGCCAGCAGTGGCTCAGCACAGTGATCAAGCACAGGAGGCTAGGGTGGAGGTGACAAGTCAGGGTGGCGTGTACTGTGCACTCTGCTTGCTGGTGGGGGTCAGAAGCTGGTACATACCCACTTCCCCTGCAAGTCCTGGCTTTCTGCTCCCAGCACTGTGGACCTGCTGGACTGGAACAGCCTGATTGACAGCCGCACCAAGCTCTCCAAGCTGCTGCTTGTCCCCAACATGCAGGTGAGTACCCATCTATGCTACCCCTGGAGCAGCCCCACAGGGAGGGCAGTGAGAATTTTGGGGAGCAGCATGTGGGTCTGATGCCCCCAGCCCTGACTGGTGGCTTGGTGGTGGCTGCAGTGCTGGCTGGCATCTGTGCTGCCAGAGCCTGGCCGGGTGTACAACCACCAAGCAGGCAGGGTGGGCACACTGTGCTCACTGTGCAGGGAGCTGGGGTGGGCAGCAGCTCCGGGGATGGGCTTTCTCCAGGGGCTGTTTCTGCCTCCCATGGGCAGGGCTGGCTGCAGGCAGGCAGGGTGCCACAAGCTGTTCTCATTTCAGACTGGGCAGCTTGAGCCTCTGCTCTCACACTTCACCGAGGAGGAGGATCTGCAGATGAAGCGGATGCTGCAGCGGATGGATGTCCTTGCTAAGGTAAGGGAGCGCTGGGCTGGGGGAGCTGGGCACAGGTGCTGCCACAGAGCAGGAGACCTAGCAGCTGGCCCCATGAACCCAGCTGGCATGTTGTTCACCCCCTTAGAGAGCCACAGAGAAGGGCGTGAGGCTGATGGTGGACGCAGAGCAGAGCTACTTCCAGCCAGCCATCAGCCGCCTCACCCTGGAGATGCAGCGCCGCTTCAACAGGGACCAGGCGATCATCTTCAACACCTACCAGTGCTACCTGAAGGTGAGGTCTGGCAGAAAGGATCTACTGGAGCAGCTGGATGGAGACCTCGGCTCCTGAAGCCATGGTGATGCAATGGTGCAACTCTGGAGCTGGCTGCCTGAAGGTGCAGGGCAGAGGTGGCACTGGTGAGATGACCTTGTGCCATCTCTCCCATCTGGTCCCAGGAGGCTTATGACAACGTGACAGTGGACGTGGAGCTGTCGCGCCGGGAGGGCTGGTGCTTTGGCACCAAGCTGGTCCGCGGTGCCTACATGGAGCAGGAGCGGGAAAGGGCAGCCCAGATTGGCTATGAGGATCCCATCAACCCCACCTACGAGAAGACCAATGAGATGTACCACAGGTAGGGCACAGCCCCAGGCACGCTCCTCTCTCCCACCCCACCAGGCGTGGGCTCAAGCAGCCTCACCATGGAGCTCTGTACTGCCTTACAGGTGCCTGGACTATATCCTGGAGGAGATCAAGCACAGCCGGAAAGCCAGCGTGATGGTGGCATCTCACAATGAGGACACAGTGAAGTTCACCCTGCGCAGGTGGGTGCTGGGGAGGCAGTGTGGTGTGGCAGGGGCTGGGAGCTCCGGGGGCATGGTGAGATGTGCTGTGGCTTGTCAGGTCTCCCTCTGTGCTCACCCAGTGGGATCCTCAGGGCTTCAGCTGGTGCACAGCATGGTAGCCCACAGCAGCTGCAGAGCTGGCCCCATTCCCCAGCCCGGAGGCTGTTTTAAAAATAAATCAAGTCCTTGCATCCCAGTTATCCCTCTGGGCCATGGTCAGTTCCATGCTCCTGTACTTGGAGACTATCCCTGCTCCTCTGGTAGGACGTGCTGCCCCTCCATGCTCTCTCTCTGCTCTTCCCTAACTCCGAGGCTTGGCTTGCAGGATGATGGAGCTTGGGCTCCATCCCTCGGAGAAGAAGGTGTGCTTTGGGCAGCTGCTGGGCATGTGTGACCAGATCACCTTCCCTCTGGGTGAGTTCTAGGAGCAAGGGGGTACTTGGCAGATATGCTCCTGCCCCACCTTGACCCCTGGGGCCTCCCTGAGCAGCTGCTATGGGGTCTAAAAGATGGATGGAGCCAGGCTGTGGATCTGTCAGAGCAAGGCTGGCTGAGGACAGTACCTTGTTGCCTCTTCCCTAGCTGTGTTGGAGTGCTGTGACCCCTGCATGGGGTTTGGGGAGGATAACAGAATCATCTTGGTTGGAAAAGCCCTTGACGATCATCCAGTCCAACCCTGAACCTCACCCTGACCATTCCCAACTCCACCAGATCCCTCAGCACTGGCTCAGCCTGACTCTTCAACCCCTCCAGGGATGGGGACTCCCCCCCTGCCCTGGGCAGCCCATTCCAACGCCCAACAGCCCCTTCTGAAAAGAATTGCTTCCTAAGAGACAGTCTGACCCTGCCCTGGGCAGCCTGAGGCCATTCCCTTTTGTCCTGTCCTATCGCTTGTTACTTGGTTCAAGAGACTCATTCCTGTCTCTCTGCATCCTCCTGTCAGGGAGTTGTAGAGGGCAATGATAGATGTAGATGAGGATGTACATGGAGTATCACATCTGTCTGCTGGAGGCACCATTGAGACTGGTGATGGCTGTGCAGGGAGATTCCTGCTTCTAACTACAAGCTGAGATTAGGGTACCCCTAGGTGGGGCAGAGGCTGATCCTGGCAGCCAGCAAACCCCTCTAGTACCCCCTTGGTCTGGGAGTGTTGCTTTGCTCTGCTGGAGGTGCACACCGAGTCCTGGGCTCTCTGCTACCGGGGTGGCAACTGGCTCTTGTGTGACCTTGTCCTCTGCTGCTGGCCCAGGCATCAGAGTGGAGCTCCCAGGGGCATGGGCAGGCAGACATGAAGGATCCAGGTAGCCCAGTTCAGGTCAGCGGCTGATCCCCCTGCCCTCACTGGTGTCCAGAGCCAGAGACCTGAGGCCAGGAGATCAGCAGAGGCGGACTGGGCAGTTGTCCAGCGTGGATGCTGCTCTGTCCTGGAGTTCCCCTCGCAAGTGGGGCTTGGCTGCCTGTCCACAACCTCCTCTGGTCATGCTGGAAAAATGTGTTAACTCGAAGTTTCTGCTTGAATGCTTCTTGAATTGGCCCAGCCCTGGCTGCCGACATTCCCAGGGCTCCTGGTGACCTCGGCCCACTCCCCCCGGCGTGTTCCCAAGCTCCCCGTGCTGAGCCAGGGAGGGACGCGCCGCTGCTCCCCTCTCGTCTGGCCAGGGCCGCTCCCAGGCTTCCCTCTCTGGTGTTCAACCGCAGCCCTCCCACCCGCCATCCCTTGCTCCGTCACACAGCCCGAGGGGCACGGGGCAGCTGCGATGGAAAGGAAGCTTTTTTTCCCCCCTTTTTTAATGTTTCCTTTCTTTTTTTTCCCCCTTTCCCCCCCCCCCCCTTTTTTTTTCTTCCTTGGCACTTCCCTAACCAGCCTCTCTCCATCCAGGTCAGGCCGGCTTCCCTGTCTACAAGTACGTGCCCTATGGCCCCGTGAACGAGGTGCTGCCCTACCTGTCCCGGAGGGCCCAGGAGAACAGGGGCGTCGTGCAGCGGGCAAACCGGGAGCGGGACCTTCTCTGGAGGGAGGTCAAGAGGCGGCTCCTCGCAGGCACCCTCTTTGGCTCCAACCACTAACCCCAACCACAGCATCCAGCCTGGGGACTCCTGTGCCTTTACCTATAACCACTATTGCCATTCCCTCCTAGTTCTGCTGCAGTTCCCCCCCTGCCCCCCTCCACCCCTTCCCAGCCCCCTCCACACTGGGAACGATCGTGTCCTTGTTGCTGTTTGAGCCACCCACACTGTAGAGGTGCCCCAGCCAGTGCTGCCCTGAGGGACTGTCCCTCTGCCAGCCCGGGGACTCCTGAGCTGCACTTGCCCTGGGCTGCCTCAGGGGAGGTGCGGGGGCTCTCCTGCCAGCCCCACCCCGACTCAGTGAACACTGTCCCGGGGTTTTCCGTTGCAGGACTGCAGAGGGAGATTTGGTCACCGGCTTTGTGCCATGGGCTCAGGTCCAGGGCAGCCCGGGTGGCTTAGGAACAAGCTGGCCTGAGCCAGAAGCTTTTCCAGCCTCTGCCAGGGCTGGGGCATGATCTCCTCCAGCTTTGTGGCTGCAGAAGCCACAGTGACCTGTGAAGTGTCACTGGGCAGGGACAGGATCTGTCCCCTGCTGCCTGTCCCAGGGCAGCTACAACCTGGCTGCTCACCAGCTCTGCACAGACTGGAGCTGAGTAGGTCCTGGGCAGGACCAGACTTTTCCCCCAACCCACCGGGTGAAGCAGAGCCCATATCCCCTGGGCTTGCCTGTTCTCAGGCACGGGTCCAGCAGGGCGGGAGGGGCGAGGGGAGCTGGCTGGCCCCATCCCTGCGCTGTTCTTGCCCTGCCCACAGAGCCCAGCTCTGATGATGGACCAGGTCCATGTTGCGGGCAGGGGCAGTGGCTGCTGAGGAGCACTAGGAGCTGGACCACAGCTCAGCTCTGCTGTACACTGGATTTCCAGATAACACTGGTGATTAAATCCTAACTGTTCTCACTCCTGTCTCTCTCGAAGTTATTGGGCAGCCCTCTCTCCCTGGGCTGTGCTCCGCTGCCCTGGTCGCAAAGGGGGAGTTAGTGCATGTTCTCAGCCCCCTGCTTTGGCCTGACCTGGGGCCAGAGCTTGGAGAAAGGATCCAGAGATGGGCGCTACTGAGTGAGGCTGAACATCCCTGGGCATGGGAATAGAAGAGCTGTGGAGCTGTCTGTGTTGGACTTGGGGGGAGCTGGAAACCCTGGAGCATCCTACTACCTGGGGAGGGGGGATTGGCAGCTGTGGGAGCCTCTCCCCACCCTGAGAGCTGCTTGTGGGGGACATGCATGCTGTAGGCTTTCACTGCCTCAAAGTGAAAGCCTGCAGCATGCATGGGCTCATTTTGTACTCTGCGGGAGTCTCTCTACAGAAGAAGCATCTCTGGGCTTACCTGCCCAGCAGCTGAGGCAGAATCTCCTTTGCCCCTGGGTCAGTCCCTCCACTTCTGGTGAGCTACCCCCACCCCAAATGGGTGAAGCTTAGGCTTTCCAGAGATGTTTGCCTACTGCCTTTTCTCTTGTTGAGACTCTCATGCCTTACAAAACACCTGTAGGATCTGGGAGCATGGCTGGACCGCAAGGTATTTAAAAGCAATGCTGGTGCAGGCAGAAGCTGAGCTCCTGGTATTTCAAGGAGGAGACATGCAGTCCCAGCACCAGGCTACTTCTCCAGCCCATGCATGATGCTGTGGCAGTGGCATGGAGCACACTGCTGCCCCACAGCCTGGGCTCTGCCGCTGGACACAGGGCTGGCTGGATGCACCAGCAGTTGTTGCCCACTGCAGAGACCTCTGGGCCCTGTGCAGCTATCGCGGGAGCGGATGTTGCAGCCTCCATGTCAGCAGCTTCCTGCACCTGCACACAGCCCCTCTTGACCCCCCCTTTTTTGGAGTTAACCCCCTCCACAGCCCTCTTTCCAGGATCGAAGGGACAGCTCTACAGATGTCTCTGTGGTGCGTGTGCTGTTTGCAGGGGCTGTGTATGAGGTCAGGGTGTCTACTCAAGGCTCTGGATGCCCTTACAACCCCCCCAAATCCCTGTGTTCCCACAGAATCATCAAGTTTGGGAAAGACCCTGAAGATCACCCAGTCCAACCACCAACCTCACCCTGACCGTTCCCAACCCCACCAGATCCCTCAGCGCTGGGTCAGCCCGACTCTTCAACCCCTCCAGGGATGGGGACTCCCTCCCTGCCCTGGGCAGCCCATTCCAACACCCAACAGCCCCTTCTGCAAAGAAATGCTTCCCTTGCCCAGTGCAACCCATCAACCTTTGCCCCTCCTCAGCCGAAAAACAGCAAATGCTCCTTTTATTTCTGGGTGCATCAACTCAACCAAACCCTCCCCATATCTCAGGCTTTCCCCACCCTGCTCAGTTGGTCAGTTTTAGCTCTTGCTGCTAGAAGCTGCTTTCTGCTTGTCTCGAAGGAAGAGGAGGCTTGGTCACAAGGATGCTGGCTATAGCAGCAGGGGGAGTTGCAAGGGAAAGAGCCCATATCCTTGCAACAACCATCTCGGTAGCCTTGTGCTCAAATGCCACAAGCAGCCCGAGCGCACACGTGAGCGGGGGCTTCTTCCAAGGAGCAGAGCCTGGCTGCATCCCCGCAGGATGGTGACGAGCATCTTGTATCATATGACCCCCCCGGCCCCACCGTGCAGCCCTGCCTGCTGAAACAGCTGCAGGGATTTTTGAACCATCATCAAAACAACATATTTTTCCTTAGTTTTGTGTTCAGAAATATTGTAGTGATGGGGTTGGGCTTTTTTAATCTCTGATATTTTCCAAAACACACTTCAACAGGAGGCAAGCACCTGGCAGGGCACTCCCGACCTGAAGTCTGAAAAAGGGACTGGTGGTGTAATGGAAAGCATCGAGCCACACTCACAGGGTGCTGGCACAGCCTGCTCTGCACAAAGGCATGGGCAGCAGCCTCGCTGGGACTAGAGGAAGAGGCAGGATGGGCGGCTGATAACAGGGGGCTGTGCAATCCCCAGCCCTGACAGTACCAGCCAGCCCAGACCACAACACCTGCCCTGAGCAGCATAAATCCTCCCTGCAGCATCCTCAGCATCTTCTCCAGCCTCTGGCTACCAGCTGGCAGCATCTTCCAAGAGACCAGATTATTTCCCCAGCAATAGCCCAACACCTGCCCGGGCAGGGGTTAGACCTGGTAATAACAGAGCAGTGTGGGATATGCTGTCTGCCTGCCTGCAGGAAGAGAAGACAAAGCTGTTTATGAAAGACAAGAAAACAGCCCAAAGCAAATGCATCCTTGCACAAAGCAAGAGCACAGGAAAGGCATGGGGGTACAAGCCTGCCCTGGCTCATTGGGAGTGGAGCAGAGGAGCACCAGGTGTGCTCGGTGCACAGGCATGATGGAAACAGCGGGACAGGGAGGGAATCTTGGTTATGGGAACAGCTGGAATGAGGCCACAGCTCCAGGTGGGCATGGCTGCCAGAGGAGGTACAGGGATACAATCACCAAGCCCAGCTTCCTTACTAGCTTTGGAGTTAACTCCCCCACACACACCTGCTTTCCCAGGCAGAAAGGGATGCTGAGCTCAACCCAGGGCTGAGTCATCCCAAGGGAGCTCCTTGTGCCTTGGCACAGCCGGGCCACCACAGTCTTCACATTCCTGCCCCAGACATGGGGGCATCCTCCAGAAAGGTCCCACAAGCAGGAGGGGGCAAGGAGCAGGACAGGGATGTGGAGGCAGGGGGTAGCCAGGGAAGGGATGATGCTGCCCAGTGCTGCTGCGAAACATGTGGAAGGAGACCGGGGTCATGTGAAAGGTGCCAGGGTGGCAGAGGGGAAAAAGCAGGGGCTACCCAATGGCCACAAGCCTGTTTAAAAACTCAGGTCTGAAAAGGAAAATCAGTGGGTTATATTGGAAAAACCACCAGACCTTTCCTCTGCACCAAGGGTGCTGCCAGAGGGACATTGGCCACAACCTGTCGATACACCTGTGGCACAGGGAGTGGGGTAAAGGCAATCTCAGGCATGGCCACTGCCACCCAAGCCTCCACCAGTGGCCCAATGCCAGTGTCACTCAGCTGGAAGGAGGAACGTGCTCGGCTTTGCCTTTCCAGCTTCGTGCCACAGAGGGTCCTGGCTGCTCGCTGCTGTGGCACCACTGCATGGCCACAGGGCGCCTGGTGCCTGCACCCTGCCAGACGCGGTATTGGACCGAGGTGTTACAAACCCAGGCTGTTGAAATCGCAGCTTGTCGGTGGCTTTTTGGGGTGGCATCTGAAAGCCAGCGCAGAGAATGTACACTTGCAGGGTGCAGTCCTGTAGACTGGAAACCACCGTGCACTTTGCACAAGCCACTGCCCATGGCTGGGCATTGGGAGGTTGGCAAGACTCTTGCACTCACATTTATGGGGATGTAACTGCAAAAAGAGTAATTTCCACTGATAAGAACACCATGAACTTCCCCATAGAGATTCTCTTGCCTAAGAAGGAGAGAAACCTTCCGTGCACATCAGCCCCATGTACTGCAAACACAGAAGGATGTTGGTGGCGAGAACCCACCGAATCCATTTACTCTTTGCTTGTTGAAGGGTGTTCAGGGTACCACCCAGGACTCCCTAAACCTCTCCAGAAGGATGCTGACCAACTCACACCTGCTGTGATGGAGGCTCCATATCCACAAGAAAGCCCTGGAGGTGTGTGGCCCTAGACCCAGCTCCGCAGAAGATGTACGCTGTCCGCAGCTCCTTGGGTGCAGCCAGCACTCAGCAGGAGATGAAGGCAGCTATTCAGCTGCATTTGTGCTGCCACATGGTATGGTCATCCTCCACCCCTGCTTTCACCATATACCTATCAGGCATCCCTGGAGTTTGGACAAGCTTGAGCCATCTCTGGCAGTGACCATTAACCTGAAAAGTCAGCTGACACAGGGTGGTGGCTCAGGAAGCCCAGGCCCATTCACTATTGCTCTACTGTCAGGCTGAGGAGGTTTATCGACCAGGCTGGGCTGGAGGTATGGGACAGCTGTGGGTGCCCACTGTGTCCCTCCAATTCCCAGCTGTGTTCTTATGGCAGGTTAGCCACTGGTCTGTCCCTGTTCAGAGTGTGCTCCCTGGGCCATGCTGCTGCAGGCACCACTTGACTTCCACAGGTCCCTGCGTGGCTCCCGACAGCCTGGTCCGGGGGCTGCTGGGCACCCAGGACTGACGGCAGCATGGAGCTACCAGGACAGCCAGATCCCGGGGCTGTGGGACCCCTGGAGCTGCCGGATCCCCAGGACAGCCAGATCCCGGGGCCGTCGGGGACTTGGGGCTGCCAGATCCCCGGGAGAGATGGACCCTGGGGCTGCCAGACCCCCAAGACAGCCCGACCCCCGGGCTCTTGGGCACCCTGGGCTCTGGGACCCCTGGAGCTGCGGGATCCCCAGGACAGCCGGGACATGGGGCTGCCGGACTCCCGGGGACTCCCGGGGACCTGGAGCTGCCAAACCACCGTGACAACCGGCCCCCAGGGCTGCCCGCTGCCTGGCTGGCCCCAGGGGTCACATCCTGCCTGCCTGGCCAGGGGCAGGGCCCCGACAGCTGGCAGTGCCTTGTCCCTGCTCTCAGATCTCTCCGTGTATCACGGGTGGCTTTGCAGAGCATCACCTCGGGCCAAGCTTCTCCACAGCACTCGGACTTGGTGCTGGTCAGGCTTCTCGGCCAGGCTGGCCCCAGCAAACGGGGGGAGAGCGCCCACAGCCGCTCCCTCCCGGCTAGGAGAGCAGAATCCCCTGCCCTTGATGGGGGGCCCAGGCCATAAATGCACCTTTACATCTCACCCGTGAGGTCAGACGAGTCCACAAGGAAAACATGTGCTTCGAGCAAGAGGGACTGCATAATGGCTTCATTCAGCAGGGCCGCAGGGCGCTGGTGCCCCCTCCTCAAATTACAGGCTGAGTTTCCTACGGAGGCATTTCACGAGCCAGAGCGGCCGCAGCTCCTGGCCCGTGCTGTTCCTCGGCAGGGGAGGATGCGGGGAGCGGTCCCTCCTCGGCTGCCCATGATCTGCCCAGCTGGTTCCCAGAAAAACTGCCATCGTGTCCCGGGGTGGCAGAGGGGATGTGAGCCCCCTCTGCACATGGGGCAGGGTGCCTGGAGCAGAGGAGCGGGTGTCTGGGTGCTCCCCCTTGCATAGGGCCCCCTCCCTTCCCCCCCATCCCTGCTGGATGGAGGTGGGGGAGATGCTGCACCCAGCACTGCAGGGCTCAGACTTGCTCCCCGTGCCACCTGTGGGTGCCATGGGGTGTGCAAGAGGCACTCGCTGCTGAGCAGGACAGGGCTCACAGGGTGGGCAGGTGGTGGTGTCCATCTCCCTGTGGCGAACAGGGCCTGAAGGCAGCCCAGGAGCCAGACAAGGTGGGGAGGGGACAGTCCATAGGAAGCTGAGAGGACATTTGCATCATTTTCCACGCCTTGCTCTTCTGCAAACCCTCCTTCCCTCCCTACCCACACCCCTCGCACCCACACCCATCTTTACTGTGCTGCTCCCCTAGGCATGGGGGGTGCCCCATATGTCACCATCCAAACCCACCTTGGTGGCTCCAAGAACCCAGGGCAGGTGCTGGGGGTCCTGCCCTGTACCGGGGCTGGGGGGGCAGCTGGGCTGGAGGTGACTTGGGGAGGAGGTCCCAGTATCCCCTGCCAGAGCTTGGTAAAGCTGCTGGTTGGACTCTTGGCCATGTGGCCCTGCCAAGCACTTGCAGGAATCCCTTGGAGATGCCAGCTGCAGGTTTTGGAGGGCTGGAGAGGAGGATTCTGCTTCAGACCCTCCTGAGACCCAGCTGGGGAGTAGCAATTCAAGGAACTATTTAGAGCAGAAAAAAAGTGTGTATCTGGGGGCTTTTTGGTGTTAAGTTTTGTGTACTAAATGCAACTTGCTCCTAAATATGAAGCTCTTTTATAATTCACAAGCTGGCATGACCCTCTCTGAAGCTGCCATCTGGGGTGCAGGCTGATGGGAGCCCTGCACACGTGGGCATTGCTTTGTCCCTGTCTTGCTCTTACTAACACTCTCTTTCGGTAATATTTCTTTTTTTAACTTATTTTTCTTTTCTCCCTCTGCTTGAAGGGTTTCTGTTTACATATGTGATCCTACTCCTGCCTGCACCCTGAGTCTGGGTTCAGGTCGGGGAGCTGCGGCTGGCATCGGCTGGGGGGCGTGATGCTGGCTGGGACCTGGTGGTCCCAAGAGCCCTATGTGCCACACAGGGGGAGGTGGGTGGCACTGAGTGGTGGGTGACACAGAGAAAGAAAGAGCTCAGCACCGGGGTGATGCTTGGGAGGAGCAGCGGGGTGGGGAGCACTGGAGGTGGCCGCGTGGCTGGGGAGGGTGAAGGCAGTGCTCTGGGCTCTGGGAATGTGCCTGCAGGGCTCCTCTGCACTCTGTCCAGCGGGCTGAGAGCAGGGAGGTCTCACATGGGACCACAGGCAGCAGCTCCCACCCGAGCCCCAAGGTCTCTCTCCTGCTTTTGGGGCTGTGAGCTTGCTCCTCACCATTTAATGGGGGCTGCGTTGGTCGGGATGAGGAGCCGTCCCTCCTGCTCAGGAGCCATCGCCATAGCCATAGGTAAATGGGATGTGATTCAGGGAGCAATGTGGCATATTAATCCGCAAGAAAAATATTCTGCCTCCATAGAAATCCCTGAAGCATTTGCAGAGGTCTGGCTGATGCTCGGTGTGAGCAGGACATGCCCATGTGCCGGGAGCAATGCTGGCATCGAGCACGTGTCCCTGCAGGTCACAGCTCTGGCTCTGCCCACATGCCTGCTCCTTTTCCCCCGCATCAACAAAGCTCCCAAGCCCCAGCCACATCTCAGAGGCAGCCTTTCTTTCTTTTTCCCGGCACTTGTAGTGCTTTGAAAAAAGAAAATGTATTTTGCACTGTGCGAGTCTGCAGTGGCATGTCCATGTGGGTTGGGAGGAAGCTTTTAAACAGATCTCCCAGTTGTTGCAGTTCCAGTGGTCATGGGGAAAATGGAGTGAACCTTCTTTGGAGGAGCTGAGACATGTTTTAGGCCCACACCCCGATGGGTGCTGGTCACCTCTGTAGCCAGCACCAGCCTTACCTGGCTGTGCTCAGGGACCAGTCCCTGTGCTGCCCTGGGAGCACCCATTACCCAGTGCTACATCCTAGCTGCCTCCTTGCAACAGGAGTAAGTTTATTTGCTGTCAAAGCCACTGATAAATGAGGCGGAGGCTGAGCGAAGGGGCGTGGGACGCTATCGTCGAGCACGGTGAAGGAGAGATTAGCTATCAGTGAAAAGATAAGCATGAATCCTGCATCCGGTGAGGCAGTGGGTGGGCTGGGGTCCCGGCTGGTGGTGATCGCAGTGCTGCTCGCCTCCCCTGGCTCATGGCAGGGGATGGATTCTTCCTTCCTGCCACCATGTTTCAGCGGCTCCTGGCTCCCTGCCATCAGCTTGGGGCTTTCATCACAAGGTGATGCTTTTTGGTGCATTGTCCATGATGCCCATTTTGTTGGCCAGGCTGAGCTGTTCGAGGGAGGAGTTTGCCCAAGCAGAGGGGAAAAACCTGCAAAAAAACCCTTTGCAAAACCTTGCAAACCTGCCATGATTTCATCTAAAACCCACTAAACACTGAATTTCTAAAGTGTGAAAGCAACCCCAGGTGGGATAGCGAGTTCTCTGGCCATGCATGGGAGGGTCATGGCACTGCGGACCCTTCCTGCCTGTGCCCGAGCATCCCGCGCTGCAGGCGAGGCTTTTCAGCGAGGGCAGCCCTAAGCCTCTTGCAGAGAAGAGCCTTGTCTCCAGCCCACCCAGTCCTCGGGGGGGTGGTTTGGTTGTGGACCCCCATTTACAGTTAACACTGTGCATCTCCCTGCGTGCTCAGATAGAGCAGAGCCCCCCACCCAAGCCCTGAGGTCCCTGTGTGGGGGGTACACGCTGGCTGCCATTGCAGTGTCTTGCGACTGCTTCGATGGGTTGAATAGATGGAGCTATTTTGGGCTCCAGCTGCAAGGCATTTTTTCCAGGCCTTGAATCATTTTTGTGGTTCTTTCTGCCTCCTTTCCAATTTTTCACCATCCACTGCGAAAAGGGGGACGCGATGCTCCCAGCTCGGCCGTGCGGGTGCTGCCTGCCGAGGGGCCGGCGGTGGGAGCTGCGTCCAGCCTCCCCGGTACCCGTGTTTGGCCAGGGGGCTGCTGGCAGTTCCCTCCCCGGCCCCAGGACAAGGCGGTCTGGCAGCCAGACGCGGTCCTGTGACTGAGCTGGGTTTTGAGCGAATACTTCCTCGCTGTCTCCTCCTCCTCTTCTGCATTTGTTACATATAAAGAGGAAAAGGGAAAAAAAAAAAAAAAAGCAAAAGCAAAACGCATTCCAGGCTGTGCTGCCGAACCAGCCTGGTGAAGTTTTCCTTGACTGCAGCATCTGCTTGGACCTTTTATAACCCTCCAAGTCGCCAGTGGGGACGGGGCAGTGTGGGTGACCCCAGGGATGAGCTGGGGGCATGGGAATGAGCGGGGTTCCCCCACCTGGGCAGTTCCTGTGGTCTCACAGTGTGGGGAACATGTTCCCCACACCTGAGTTGCAGCATCGTGAGGCCCCAGGCATTCCCTTGCAGGGGGTCGCTGAACAAGTGTGGGTGAGGTGTCCCTGCTCAGTCCCCATGTGTCCCATCTCAGCAGGGAGCTGCATCTCTGGCTGAGCCTCTGAGGGGGTCTGAGACCCCATCCTGGTGTTGGCTGGGGTCAAGCTTCTGCCAAAACCACTTTGGCTGATGCTCCTGTGCATGGTGCTCCCTGGTGACACCCAAGGGACACATCCCAGCCACCTACACTTGATATCCCCTGGCTCACATGTGGGGGACATCTCCTAGGAGCTGGCTGTGCTCCAGCCATCCTGGCAGGATGGTTCCAGCTTGCCCTTGGGATGCCATCCCCAGGCCAACAAGCAGCCAACCTGGATTTTGGGTCAGGTTTGGTCTTTCTGCAGCAGCCAAAGTGGAAATGCCCATCCCTTGAGCAGCGCTGCCCAGTGCTGGCAGGGAGGCACCGAGCTGAGGGGGAACTTGCTGCCCCGGCTCCCATGATGGGGTTGCAGGTGCTGCTGGGGTCCTTCCCGGGCTGCTCCAGGCTCCCGCTGGCACCTGGCACTGAGGCTGCGTGCAGGCAGGGGGGTGCGTGCAGGCAGCAGTGTGTGTGCGGGCAGGGGAATCAGGCAGGCAGCAGGGTGCAGGCGGGCAGGGAAGGGCAGTGTGGGGATGATCACAGTGCGGGCACTGCTGGTCCCCGCTCACCACAGCACCCTCCTGAGCGAGGAGGTGCAGCACCACGGGGACACAAGCCGGGGGTCTAGCTGCGGGCACTGTGCCATCCCACCCCAGGAGCGGCCTCTCAGGGGCAGAGCAGTTGGTTTTCCCCTGGATCATTTAGACCCTTCCCTTTTTTCACAGCTTTTGGGGGTCTTCGGGGTTATTTTTTTTTACAGTAACAGTTGCAAACATGTCTTTCGTGGTTTGATTGCTCCTGATTAATGGGAGGAACTGGTTCTGTCTTGCTTCCAGCATCACCTCAGCTGGCTGATGGGGCATCTCGAGCTGGTGCCCATGGGAGCCCCCCAGCAGATCTGTTGTCCCTGCATGGTGGAGGAAGAGCCAAGAGCTCTCCTTATCCCAGCAGGGTGCAGCAGCCCCTGGTCAGTGTTCAACTGACTTGGAGCGGGACCCTTCAGCACCATGGCAGCAGTGCTCCCAGTGGGTTTTGGGGAAGGACCAGGACTTTCTGAAGGTCATAATTATTTGTGGTGCTTTTTTTTTCCCCTGCAGCTCCTCAGTGCTTGTGTGCTGCCCAGGATGGAGGCAACAAGGAAGCGAGTGTTTAATAGGTAAGCACGGTGTTTTGCTTCATTGGACACTGCTCATCTGCCCATCCTTTGCTGAGCCCTCCTGGCCTCACCACTGCTGTCAGGGGCTCCCCAGATGTTCCCCATGGCGGGGACGCCCTGTCTCAGAGACCTCTGCCTGCAGCTGGCCTCCCCAGGGATGCTGGAGGCTGTCCTGCCTCCCTGGAGTGCTCAAAGCTGGCAGCATGTGAATGGAATGGGGTGCTGGTCACAGAGCCCAGCCCTGGGGTACCCCCTGCCCCCACAGTGATGTCCTGGGGTGCCACCAGTGAGCTCCTGTGGGGAGCATCACCCCTGCTCCCAGGCCAGGTGGTTTCTCTCCATGCCAGCCAGCTTTGGGCCTAAGGATTTGGGGGTGCTGCTCTGGGACCCAAAGGACAGTGAGATGTCACCCAGGGGGAAGCGTGGGTGCAGCTGCAGGGGGGGACCCAGAGATTTCCCATGGATGCTGCAACAGCGTGGGGAACCAAGTCAGAGCTGCTGGTGGAGAAGCCACCAGGACCAGGCACAGGGCCACCAAGCCTGCAGGCAGGGCAGTGCCAGCTGGGGCCACACCAGGTGATACGGCTCTTACCGGGGGCCACGGTCAGCCCGGCGTGGATGCTCAGCATGAAGACCTGGGACTGCTCATCCCCTGCAGTGCTGCCACGATGCAGGTGGCCGGTCTGGTGTTCCTGTGTTGCTGCCCACAGTCTCAGCCAGCCACGGGGCTCGCCTCGCCCCAGGAGAGCCGGAGGAGCTCTCTGCACACCGGCCTGGGGTGTCAGCAGGTTGCAGCCAGCAACAAAGACCACGTAACCGACTAACCCACCGTGCATGAGCCCTCATAACTGCTCGCTGCATGCGTTGGGTGCCTGCACGCCAGGAGCAGGATGCGGTCCCTTCAGCGTGCTGGCAGGAAGGGAGAAGGACAGGGTCTGCCAGGACAGCGGGGGGTAGGCTGGTCCCATCAGTGAGCTATCCCCATCTCCTCACCCCCCCTCAACCTGCTCTAACCCTTAGACTCACTGCTCCTAACCTGTGTAATCTGTCTATTTTAGGGGTTTCTATAGTATCCATCACCGTAGGTCTAAGAACTCCCAGGTAAGGTGGATGGGATGGGTGGTCTGCTCTCCCTCTCCCGGTGGCTAAGAAGGCTTGTCCAGGGCCATGTGGGATCTGTCTGCACCTGACCCACCACGGTGCTGCCTGTCCCATGTCCTGCGCATGCCCTACTCTGGGCATTGGCTCCAGCACAAGGTCCCCTCAGCAGGAGAGGGGCTGGTGGCCTGCATGGGAGCAGCGGTGATGGGGGTGGCAGTGACACCGCTGTAGTCTGTAAGGAGTGCAGGGAGGGGGACAAGAGGACAGTGCTCGTGGCTGCCTGCGTCCCCCCCCTGCCCCACGTCCGCACTCTCCCCTGGCGCTGCCTCTGCTGGCGATAGGAGCTGGGCGAGTGACACTGCCACTGGGCGCAGCCGGTGGCAGGACTGGGGCTGGGCTAGTGGCAGGAGGCTGATGGCCAGGATGGAGCTGAGCTTGGTGGCAGGAGGCTGGTGGCATATTTCTGGTGAGACTCCCATCTAGCCTGCCTGGCTGCTTGCCAGGACAATCGCAGTGCCACAGCTCAGCAGCACCCGCCGTGCCACCGCGCAGCCCCTCCCCTGCTCTGCGGGGTGGGAGGGGGTTGGGGGAGCAGGGGTGAGCCCGCTGCCACACATGCTCACGCCTGCCGTCTGTCCGTCCGTCCAGCTGTGTGCGAGGGGAACTTCACCTGCAAGGAGAACGAGGTGTGTGTCCGGCCCAGCGAGTGCCGCTGCCGCCACGGCTACTTCGGTGCCAACTGCGACACCAGTGAGTATCAGCAGGCGTGTCCTTGGTGGGGTTCACCAGGGTGTGCTGGCTCATCCCGGGGTGACATCAGGGTTGAGGCTGGAGATGCTTTTGCTCCACCCTTGCTTGTCCCTTTGGAGGGGTCTGCTCTGAGATCCAGCGCGCTGGGAGGAGGTGGGGGGACTGTAGGCAAAAGGTCCTGCTGCGGCTGGGGGTCTCCGCTGGTGCCTGGTGGTGGGGTTGTCCCACGGGCAGTATTGGGGCTGACGGCTCTGCCTACAGAATGTCCCCGGCAGTTCTGGGGTCCCGACTGCAAGGAAATGTGCAGCTGCCACCCCAACGGGCAATGTGAGGATGTGACAGGCCAGTGCACCTGCAACCCCAACCGCTGGGGTCCCAAATGCGAGAACGTCTGCCTCTGCAAGCACGGCAAGTGTGACCAGAAGACGGGCAAATGCACCTGTGAGCCCAACTGGTGGGGACCCCAGTGCTCCAGCTCCTGCTATTGCAGCCACAACTCCCAGTGCGACCAGCAGACAGGCAACTGCCTGTGCCAGCCTGGCTGGTGGGGCCGCGGTTGCAACAACCAGTGCTCCTGCAACAACTCGCCCTGTGAACAGTTCACGGGGCGCTGCCAGTGCCGGGAGCGGACATTCGGGCCCCGCTGTGACCGTTACTGCCAGTGCTACAAGGGCAAGTGCAACCAGGTGGATGGGACCTGCACGTGCGAGCCGGGCTACCGGGGGAAGTACTGCCGCGAGCCATGCCCGGCTGGCTTCTATGGCCAAGGCTGCAGGAGACGGTGAGTGGCCAGACCCCATTGGGCCTGATCCAGCACCGTGGGCTCAGTGGGAGGTTTTGGGGTCACCGCGCCTGTTGACTGGGTCCTCCTGGGCCATTGCAGGTGTGGGCAGTGCAAGAGCCTGCAGCCATGCACTGTGGCAGACGGGCGCTGCCTGACCTGTGAGGCTGGCTGGAATGGCACCAAGTGCGACCAGCCCTGCTCGCCTGGTTTCTACGGAGAGGGCTGTGAGAAGCTCTGTCCCCCCTGCAAGGACGGCCACACCTGCAACCACATCAACGGCAAGTGCTCCCACTGCAACCCGGGCTGGATCGGAGACCGGTGAGTGCAGCTGGGTGCAAAGTTGGGCCCTGGCGGGGCAATGTCCAGCCTCCCTGCTGCTCCCTGCACGGGCACCGGGGGTGGTTGTGGGTTTCTGCAGTCAGGAGGGCAGGGCAGGGATGGGTTGAGCCTGCTGGCACAGCAGTGGGACTGGAGGGAGCCTGCGAGATCACTGCCCTGTGCCCACAGGCACGTTGGGTGCTCACGGTGGGGCTCAGCTCTCAAGCTGGGATGCTTTCCCGCAGGCTTTTGTGCCCAGGATTGGTTCCAGGGCTTTGCAGCACCCAAACGGGGCTCACAACACACAGCCCTATCTCCCTGCCTACACGCAGGAGGGGTGGGGGCATGCTAGAGATCCCCAGGAGCCGTGGGTGCTCCAGCCACCTGCCCTCATTACCCCCACCAGGTGTGAAACCAAGTGTCGGAACGGGACGTACGGGGAGAACTGCGCCTTCGTCTGCAGCGACTGTGTCAACGGCCAGTGCCACTTTGAGACCGGCCGGTGCCTCTGCCACCCTGGCTCCCACGGCACCTAGTAAGTGAGCCACAGCAGGAGCACTTCAGGGTGCACCCCAGGGCATGGGTGGTGCTCAGGCATCTCCTGCCCCCTTGGGTCCTACACAGTTCCCAGCCAAGAAGCTGCCCGTGGTGGAAGTGCTCACAGGCAATAATTCGGGTGATTTTTGGAGGGGAAAGGACATGCTCATGGAACTGTTAGCAGCAAGTTAACTCTGCGAGAGAGGGATTTTGCTTTTGGAAGTGCCTATTTGGCAAAAACAAATGCTGTCGACAAAACGGTGGTTTGTTGTTTGTTGGGGTTTTTTTTAAGTCCAGGGTGGAATTTCTAGCTGAAAAGAGAGAAAACCACATCCCAGAATAGCAAATAGCCTCATGGGAATGGCATCCACGGGGTGCTCCTGCTGCAAGCTGTGGCTCCGGCCAGGGTCTTCCTCACCCCCGGGATGAGGCCCCAGTCCTCCCCCTTTCCCCCTGCCCAAGGAAAGGGCACAAGGGACATCGATGTCCTGCTCACGTGCCCTAGTGGTTTTCTCCAGCGTGGGACTGAAATGCTGTTTTGAAAAGGCAAGGAAAGCATTTCCCACCCGGCTGGGGCATGCAGGCAGCTCCCCCAGGTCCTGCCGGGTGTTACTCAGATTTTCCCAGCAATTAACCACAGGGGTGATGGCAGTGACAGGGATTCAGAGCTGGTGTCCTGCCCACGCCAGTGCTTTGTTCAGGGCATATCAACAGGGAGCATTTGGATTTCGAGTGGATTTTTTGGAGGCTTTGCCAACCACTGATGCTGCCAGAAGAGCCGGCTGGGCACCAGCACCAGCTCAGGATGCCCAGCCTGGGCATCGTTGCCACCTTCAGCAGCAAAGGCAGAGGTGAGCGAATCCTGGTGCTTGGCAGGGATGCGCAGTGATGCTTTCAGCACAGTACTGGAGTGTCGCACCTGAATTCAACTGTTGAGAGACCCTGGCAGAGCATTGGGAATGTGGGCACTAGGGGTGCTCAAGATGCTGCCCTGGCCCCAGCAGCATCCTGGAGCTGTAACCGCTGTGCCGTACGGGTGCACGCCAGGCGGGCTCAGGGACTCTTGGTGATCAGGGGGATCCCTGTGATTCTGTGCAAACTGCTGTTTTTGTAAGCAGTGTTTGATTCTAAAAAGAGGGTGATTTCTGGAAGAAAGGCAGAAGCGATGTCCTCACCATGCAGGAGCGTCCTCTCAGCTCTAATACGGGAGGGTGCTAAAGGAAAGGCTGCTAAAATATTTGTGGTGTGCACAAAATGGTTTATCTCATCTTTTCCAGAGGTGTTGGGACCTTTTTGGAAAAAAACACCTGCCCTGTGCTCTCCCAAAGTCTCAGCCTGGGGCAGACATAGGCGTAAACAGTGGAGTGAGGAGGTTTGGGTTGCCAGGGAAATATCCAGCTCCACCTCACCGCATTTGCTGCCGCTGCGCAGCTGCTCAGGGCAGCGGTGGGGGCTCAGCGCCCACCTCGGCGGGCACATGGCACACGGTGGGCACGAGCCTCAGCCCAGGCGGCGCTTTGCAAATCAGCGGAGCATGAAATGGGCTGAGCTGCCTCCAGGCACTGTGCCGAGGGCTGGGGGCAGCTGTGCTCCCTGGAGGAGTGCGTTTGGGCTGGGGCCCGCTGGCTCCTTACGTCTGCGGCCAGAATGCAGCTGCTGGTGAGCAGCTGGTGGGGGTTTGGTGCACAGCAGCACTGCCAGCGTCTCCCAAACCCACCCGGGTCCTGCACCATGGTGCCCGTCCCACAGCTGGGGTGGGAGGTCGGGTTGGCCCTGCTGACACTGGGAACCTCGGTTGCAGTGATCTGTGCCTGGCACACGCTTTCTGTGCTCAAGCTTGCAAGTTGGTGCCCGTTCGTGTCCATCCCCATTGCCTTGATGATGCTGCCAGGGAGGTCGTTTTACCAGCTGTGGGGATTTGATGCCAGGCTTAGCTGAACCAAGAGTCTGGCCTGATGGAGCAGATGTCTTAGGGCCACTCGGTTTTTTTTCCTTTCAGAGGCCAAAAAAGCAAATCTAAAATCAATCTGTGCACTTTCCCAGCTCGTGGCTGCCATGGCCCTGCCTGGCTCGGTGGGGGGGGGGGGCCCAGGGGTGCCATGGCCACGTGACTGCTGAACTGAGCTGGAAATCCTGCATGTGACATTGGTGTGTCTTTAGATGTGACTGCTGCATTCGTGACCTTTCATAATCGCTGTGCCTAATTGCGAAGCCCTTCACAGGGAGCAGCAAGAGCATCTGTCCTCCAGCTGGGCCAAATCTCCTGAGCGATGGGAGAGGAGCTCTCGCTCCCTGGGACTCAGGGGTGCCCTAGGGTGCGTGGGGGCTGTGTCAGACCAGCTTGGAGAAGTGCCCCACATTTTTCCCCAGAGCTCAGAGGGTTTGGGAGGAGGCAGCAACTGGGGTGGTGAGGGGTCTCACTCAGCCTCTTTCTTCCAGCTGTAACCTGACTTGCCCACCCGGCCGCTATGGAGCCAACTGTGCCGAAGCCTGCAGCTGCCACGATGGTGCCTGTGACCCGCTGACAGGTGCCTGCCACATGGGTGAGTGCTGGTGGGCAGGGGTCGGGATGCCGGGCTCTGCTGCAGGGCCGTCACCGGGGCTGACCTGCGGGTTTTGTCTTGCAGAAGCCAACCAGCGGATGGGGGTGATTGGGGCAGGAGCCCTCCTGGCGCTGCTGCTCATCCTCCTGCTCTCCCTGCTCTGCTGCTGCTGCGTCTGCCGCAAGAAGGACGAAGCCTGCGGGTGGGTGCTGGGGATGGGCAGGGCTCTTGCTGAGTTCTGCCACAAAGCCTGAGGAGAGGGAGGAGCTGTGGGTCTAGGGACATCAGTGGCCAGTGCGGGGCTGGGACTGGTGGGGGGGTGCAGGGACCGCACTGGGCCACAGCAGTGCTGTGGGGAAACTGAGGCAGAGCAGTGCTGCCTGCCCGGCACCCTGTGCCCTGCAGGTCCTTGGGGTCTGAGCAGATCCTGCTGCATTCTCAGGGCAGTGTTCAGCTTGGGGGCTGATGGAGGGGCTTGGTGTGAGCCCTGCCTGCAGACCCCCTTCCCCCTCTCCCTGACTTGGTTTCCCTCTTGTGGGCCATCATTTCATGGAGACCCACCAGGTCCCCTCCAGTCTCCAGGAGGCTGGAGCTGATCTGCAAAGGGAACCCTAAAATACAGCATGGGCATCAAGATGTGACTGAGAACCCCAGAACAAACCCCTGGGCCATGGGGTGTGATCCAGGGCGGGTGATGGGCTGCGGAACTGCCGACTGTCCCTCACAGGGACGTTCAGGACAGGGAGGGTGAGTTTCTGCATCAAGGTCGGGATGTCAGAAGCATTTTGACAGCACCAGGTGACATCCCACCACAGGGACAGGGATGGAGACAGACCCAATTGCAGGGGAGAGGAAGGTTTGTGCTGCTCAGCAAGGGATGAGCAGCTCCTCTGGCTGCAGAGGAAGGTCTCCCCTTGTGCTGCTGGCCACTGCATGTAAATTTTCCAGAAGCCTCCCCTTGCAGCTCTGCCAGCTCAATCCCAGCATGACACATGTGGCTTGGAGACCCTGGGGACTGCATGTAATTATCCTGCAGATAAAAGCACAAACACAGCCCCACATGGTGAAGTATCGCACAGGGAAAGGGGAAATGGCTCAAAGCAGTTTCCTCTCTCCTGGGGTACCCAGATCTCTGCAGTGTCCCCAAAGAGCTGGGTCACCTGCAGTGCCATCCCAGCAGTGGTCCCTGGCCAGAGCAGCCCCAGGGACTGTGGCAGTGGTGGGCACATTGCAGGTTGCCTTGCGTCAACATGGGAAGCTGCTCACTCCTGCGGCTGCAGATAATTGCTTGAAACCTCGTCCCCAGGAGGCTTCAAAACCAGAGAGCAAATAAAGAGAAGCCACGTGTTTGTTTTCGGGTTGGGATGATTTCTATTTTTTTTAAAGATTCAGAGTCTTGGCCGGGTGTTGTGAGTGTTTTGGGGCTGGGCTGTCAACGGCCATGGCCAGATCTAGCCTTTCCACCATCCCCTGGCACTGCTCCGCGTCCCGGCACAGTGCAAGCTGGTGCCTGGGGCTGGCAGCAGCTCCGGCAAGTCCCAGGCCCCCTGTGTTATGGGCACCCCCCTGCTTGGATCAGCCCCATTATATTTCCCAAAACCCCTTTGCGTTTGCAGCATGCCCGAGCTCCTGGCTCCCGCTATGGCCCCATGAGGGCTGTCCCCACTGCGACGCAGGTGCTGGTGCCTCTGATGAGGCCGTCACCTTCTCTTGCAGCTCCAGCCAGGACCCGGCAGCAGCCAAGAAGCCACCGAGACGCTTGTGCGGGCGTTTCAGTCGGATCGGCATGAAGCTCCCACGTATCCCCCTGCGCCGCCAGAAGTTACCCAAGGTTGTGGGTAAGGTGCTGGGGTTTGAGGAGGGGGCAGAGAGCCAAACCCCGGGGGCTATACTCCTGGCAGGGCAGTGCACATGACTCACAGCATCCTTTCCAGCCTCAAAGCCAGGGCAGTAAGCACAGCAGAGTGGTGACGGGCCACACGGGTCCCAGGGACCATCACAGGGCTTGGTGCATGTTGCCGGGCTTGCAGGGGTCACCCCTTTCTCAGACTGCAGCTTCTGGATCTCAAAGTGCATTGGTTTGCTTTGTGAGGGTGGGCACTTGGAGCCTGGAGCTCTACCGAGCTGCTTTTTGAGGTTTTTAGGCTCTCCAGGTAGAGGAACAGTCCCTGTCGCAGCAGTAAAATGCCTCGTTTACCCTTTTGGTCCTGACCTAACCCTTCCCCAGCTTTGCGTGGAGCTGGAGCGTCCGCGCTGGGGCCGGAGCCCACCCCACTGCCGTGCGCAGCAGAGTTGAGGATGGAGAGGCAGAGACTGGCTGAGATCCCCACACTGCATGGGTACAAACGGCTTGCAGGGGGATGCTCACACTCGGCAAAGCCCTTGGCCAGGATCTGTAAGGGCTGTTGGGGACTCCCTGCATCCAGGCAGCTGGGGAACACTGTCCCCTGCATGCTCTGAACCCTCCCTGCGCTCATCCCCGTGTGAGAAGCTGGGGATGTGCTGCCTCAGAGAGGACTTCATTGAATAAGCCTGGGGGTGAAGGCAGTGCTCCCCGGCCTGCACTGGCATGGGGCTCAGCCTCATGCCCCACTCCCTGAGCCCAGCGCCTCCCCAGACACACAGTGCCGGTGGGATGCCCTGAGCAGCTGCATCCCAGCACACAGCGGCTCAGCACGAGGCCAAATCCCCCATCCCAGGTGGGACACGGAGGTGGTCCCATCCTGACATGCCGTGCCCGAGCTCCAGTGTCAAAGCCAGGGGGACAACTCCTCGCTGCATGGGGCATGGCAGAGCCCACCCTAGAGCGAGGTGCGCCGGTGCCGGAGAAACATTCCTGCTGCAAGGATAACAGAGGCCGTGTTTGTGGAAGGGGCCAGGCAGGGCTTGGGGAGGACAGAGGGTGCCTGTGTGTGGTGAGGGCAGGGCGGGGTTCAAGGGGGCTGTCTGCAACTTCTCCATGCCGGTCTGGAGGGAGTTGGCACCCACCCAGCTGCTCTGTGTAAGCAGCAGCCCCGGGAAAGGCTGAGGATGTGGCACCAGTGCCAGGGGGATGCTCAGGATGGTATTGTGTCCTGGAAAGGCTGGGGCTATTCCTGGAGCCTGGTTGTGGGGCTGGGGGTTGTTATTTTGCTGGGCTTTGGTCAGGGCTTGCCTTGTGTGCATTATGTTCTCCTGCACGGTGGAGCCAGTGTGGGTTTTGGCAGCTCCCAGTCCCTCTGGTGCAGGGTCTGGCAATGCCTCGAGCCCCCGCTGGGTCTCTGTCCAACCCCGGGTCAGGGAGAGCTGTTGGGGTGCCTGTGACAGCCTGGTGACCGTGGTGCCACATCAGCCTGTGGCTCCACTTGGAAGCCACAGTGCCCAGTACATGGTGGCAGAGGCCGCCTGTTCCCCACATGGGTCCTGCGCCAGGAGGAGGGTCCTCAGGATGCTGAAATGTCCCATCCCAAGTGCTGGGTCAGTGCTGGAGGTGCTCAGGCCCCTGTGGGGATGTCGTGGTGAAACTGGTGCAGCCTGAAGCCGAGGATGCCAGCAGATTGTCGCTCTGGATCTGCTCATGTCCTTGCAGAGCTGCTGCCGTGGCCATGCATTTGCTGGCACCAGGTTTTCCCCTCTGGGCTCAAACATGATTGAGGCCACCACCAGTGAGCTCAAGCCCACACGTGGTAGAACGTGGTAGGCAGCAGGTCTTGAAGCCCCAGTGAAGCTCAATAGGTGCCTGGAGCCCCAGGTGCCCCCCTCAAAAACTGCTCCCCGGCCTTGGCACCAGCGTTGGATCTGCAGCATCTCCCTGGGGTTTGTACCCAAGCTGGCAGCCCACACGGCTACAGCCTGGGTGGCCATGGTGCCAGGGTTTGGGCATCCCTGCATGCACGAGTTTCATGGGGTTTACTTCTCAGGACATCGGTACCAGCGTGGGTCCCAGTTGCGTGTTGCCCCGTGGGTGTGGGGACTAACTGGAGCTCTGCACCCCACTGCCATGTCTCCTCTCCAAGCAGCGAAGCTCAAGCCAGCCCCAAGGCGGGGGGGAGCTTGAGACAAGTTGAGGGGGGGCAGCCAAGAGGGCCCCAGGGCCACGCTCCCATGGCTCTTCTGTGGCTTCTCACTGCTTCATCCTGGTCTTGAGACTGATCAGCTGCCGTGCAAGGTGGGCTGGGCTTGGCACCCCAGTGCTGTGGCCCCGGGAGATTTTGGGGAGCAGTGACAGGAGGGGACCTGCAGGAAGTGTCCACATTTCTTCCAGCCCTGTCAGCCCGTGTTCTATCAGCCAGGGGAGGTAGATCCCAGGGGACCACACAGGAGCCCCCAAGCCTGGCTCTGGGTGTGCTGCACATCCTCTTTTTATCCTTTGGCTGGATCCTGGGTTTCATTTGAGTCCCAGAGACGCCTCGTGGCTGTGAGTCCCAGCCGCTCGTCATGCCTCCTCTCAGGAAGCATCTCCCTTCATCCGCTTCCAGCCGGCTGCTTTTAATTTTCCCTTTTTGGTTTTTATTACAAGGAAAGCCATGTTGAAACTGCCGCTTCCCCCTCTCCAGGCCATTTGCTCTTTAAATATCACTGCTTTTTTTTTTTTTTCCCTTTCTCCCAGAAGCCAAACTATGCAGGGGCGAGCATGCATCGCTGCCGTCATTTTAATGACCTTGCATCTCTGAAGCCAGATTCCCTAATAAAGCATAAATGTTCCGGTGGGCATCCTGGTAAAACTTAGAGTTATTTTATTGTGAAACAGGGACGTGGTGCAAGAATCAAACAGGCCAAGCAGGAAATTGCAGCATGATTTAGATGGCCAGGATGTGCAGGCAGAGGTTACAAATACCTGGAAATACCGATGTGCAGCTGCTGCGCAGGGGGAGCCTGCCTGTACGCTGGGGTTTTGCGGCCCTTGCAAAGCAGGACTCTGCCTGGGCTTGGAGGCAGCTTGCCACCGTCCCAAGGGACAGCATCCAACAGGCAGGGGATGGCGACAAGAGCATCTGGTGCTGCCCAGCTCTCTCCACCCAGCTGGGTGCTGCCCCTGTCCTGCAGGAACCCCAAGGATGATGCTGAAGCTGCGGGCACCTGAGGAAGCCCTATGGGGTGGGACATGAACTTATACAGCAAAAAGCCTTAAAAAGGATCAAACAGAAGAACCAGTACCTCCCAACTCAGGCAACTGTCACTGCTCAGCTTTTTAATTATTTTTTTTTTACTGTTGAAACCAAAAACACCAAGTTTTTCCTCTCTGGTGGTTTTTCTCTTCTGCGCGGCTTCTCTGCAGGTGGTCCCCACAGCAGAGAGACAGTGCTGGGGCAAGGAGAGATGTTCCTCCTCAGCTTCAGGATGGGAGAAGCTGGTAAAGGGATTGAAAAGTGGCAGAACTGGGAAAAAATGGTGATGTACATCCCCCTACTGCAGGCATCCTTTTACCATCCTTCTACCTCCTTTTGCAGAAGCAGAAGTAAAATGCAAACGGTAGTGCTGAAGTGGAAATTAGTGTATTTAAAGCCAGCAGCTCATTTCTTTCCCCGGGAAGGGGACAGTCACATCACCAGGAATTTCTTTGCGAGGTGCCTGTGCTAGGTTGAAGAGCTCACAGGTGACTGCTGGGATGCTCACTGGGTCCTCACAGGACCCAGGGTTTTGGGTGGTGCATCCCTCCGCCATGTGCATCCTCAGTTTGGGTGGCTGGAGACCTGCTGTGGAGAGGGGATAAGAGGGGGTGTGTAAGGCTTGCGTGGGCTCTGCTGTCCAGAGCCACTCATCCCTAGGCATGAGGGATGCTGGTCACCACCGTTGCTGGTTGATGGCTTCTGGGGGTGCTTTGCTGAGGGACCTGATGGAGATGTGCAGCGAGAGCTGTCCCCGTGGCTGGGACGCTGTCCCTGTCCCCAACACGCACTGGTAAGTTGGGCAGGGGGCAGCTGTGCAGCATCCCAACCTCCTGGCTGGTGGGGGGTTGGGGCATTCAGCAGGACGGGCACTGATAGCAGTCCCTTGGTCTTGCAGTGGCCCATCACGACCTGGAGAACACCCTGAACTGCAGCTTCATCGAGCCGCCCTCTGTGGTGGAGCAGCCTTCCCCATCCTGGTCATCCCGTGGCTCCTTCTCCTCCTTTGACACCACAGATGAGGGGCCAGTGTACTGTGTCCCCCATGAAGGTGAGCAGGGGGGCCACGGCGCTTCCCCAGGGGACTTTGGGGCCATCACCAGGGGCCATCTCCTGCTCAGTGGAGAGGCATCAGCCTTGCACGGTGGGTACCATGTCACCCTGGCTTCTCCTGCCCCGGGAAGGGATGCGGGTGCTGATGTTGCCTGCCACGCAATTTCAGAGGTCCCTCCTCTGGCGTTTGCTGCTCCGGGGTTGTTTTAAGAGTCTTCTTGTGCTGGGATCCCTGACTAGGAGGAGGGAACAGGGGCACACCGGGGTGTAGGGGGGAAGCAGGTGGGATGTCTCGTCCCACCATGCTGCAGGAGCGTCTCAGTCCTTCCCCTCCCTGGGCACACATCTGCCTGACGGCCCTGTACTCTTCCCACAGAGAGCATGGGTGACAGCAGGGACAGGGGGACACTGTCCAGCCCCGGGGACAAGCTGGTGGCGCCGGCCAGTGGGGAGGAAGCGGGTGAATACACCTTCCTGAAGGAGACAGGCTCTATCAGAGCGTTCCCAGCCGACAGCAGTGAAACACCCCTGCTCAAGTCCTCGGACAGCGAGCGCTCCTCCTGCGGCTCGGGCTCGGCTGGTGCCGCACTCTATGCCCGGGTTGCCCGTCTCTCCAAGCAGTCCAAGGAGGAGGAGGATGCCACCACAGAGCCCCGCAGCCCCGGGAAGCCACCATCCCCAGAAAGGACCAAGCCCCGTCCTCCAGACCCAGCCACAAAGCCCAAAGTCTCCTGGATCCATGGCAGGTACAACTCCAGCCAGTCCAACTCGCTGCCAGCACCCAGCCGGTCCCCAGAGCGAGCAGCCGCCCGGTCCAGCAGCCCTGAGCAAGGCCAGGGCTTGGCCAAGAGGAAGAGGAGCCCAAGTGAGACATCAGCCAGCGTGCAGGGCAGAGCAGAGGAGAAGGGCAGCACGCGGGGCAAGGAGAAAGTGCAGAAGCAACTGAAGGAGCCTGGAGTCTCCGAGGGCAAAGCCAGTCTCAGCAGCGAACCCCAGTCGCCCTCCAAGCCCAAGCAGAGGAGCAAAGCCAGCTCAGAGCCAACAGAGAGCATCAATGGGGCGGTGCAGAACGCCTTCCGAAAGATGGGCACCTTCCAGCCGGAGCGGCGGGTCGGGGACAACAGGGATGCTCCTCGCAGCCCTGGCACCAGTAAACCCCGCTCCGAGCCCCTCCATCCCCACCTGGCCTCTGAGCTGGCAGCCCAGCTGAAGGAAAAGACTCAGAGCCTCAACAAGGGGGATGGAGGCACCCGGGCAAACGGGGTGGGCACCCAACGGGAGAAGCCCACCCCTCCACAGAAGGCCAAGCGCTCGGCGGCTGCCGGCGGCCAGAAGACCAGCAAGCCCTTGCTGCCCACCTCTCCCCACCTGCAAAAACTGATCCCTGGGGTGTCCGAGCTGGTGGCTGGGGAGCCCAAGCGGGTGGAGAAGCCAAGCACCGGCAGCGGCCAGGACCAGGCTCTCCCCAGTGAACAAGCAGCCAAGAAAACCCCCATTAAAAAGCCTCCCAGGAAGAAGAGCCGAGAAGCCAGCCTGGAGCCACCCAGGGCAGCTGCTGTGCCCGCTCAGGCAGTGCAGTGACCGGGAGCCAGGCACTGGCCCCGCACCAGCCGGCTGCGTGCCGGAGGAAGGACGTTTGCCAGCATGGCCAGTGGACGTGGAAGCTGGACTGGGCAGGGGGCACTGGAAGAGCCTTGAGCCTCCATTTCCCTGCCCCCATCTCCCTCATCCCCCTTTTTCCTTTAGTCTCCCCTGCCCCAGGACCTGCTCCTCCCCGCCAATGCCCTGCTGCCTGCTCCCTGCCCGGGACTGGCAGCTTGCCCTCCCCGTGCAGGGCAGGACCGCAGGGAGCTGGCCCAGCCGCCAACCCGGGGGGCTCCATGCGTGGCATGTCGTGTCTGTCCCTGCCCCCCCCATTTTTTTGTAGCAGTATTATCAATCGCATAAGCAGTGCTTGTTGTACTAGAGGTACCCACGGTATATTCTGCAGTAACGGAGCCACTCACTTCCCACGCCCCACTCGGGTCTGTTGGGCTCGCGGGGCACGGGAGAGGGAGGGTGCTGCTGCTTGGTGCCAGGGACCTGCCCTGCACCCATCACCGGCAGCAAAGCCCAGCCCTAGCACCCTGGGCTCCGGGCACGGCTCTCCAGTGCCAGTCTGGCCGCAGCGCGCCCTGCCCGGTGTGGGGTCGAGCTGGTTTCGACCGATGCCGCCCTCCCCTCCACCCCTGGGGTTGCTTCTGGCCAAGAGGAAAGCACTATTTATGGCCAGATCTGGATGCCTTTTGGGCTCCCATGTCCCATCCAGTGGAGTTGGAGGGATTAGTTTGGTACGACAGAGCCTGGCACATCTGCAGAGCGCTTTCCTAATAAAAATGTATTTCTTCTGTAGGTGGGTGCCGTCTCTCCATGCCCCAGGCTCCCCATGGGCAGGTGATGTGCTGGGCATCGCCTGGTCTTGCTGGGGTGCTCAGCCCAGCCCTGAGTGGGATGCAGTGGGGAGATGGATGACCTTGCAGCAGGTACAGGCAGGTGGTGACAGGCAGGGTGGGGAGGCAGGTCCCCATCATGGCTGCTGCTATGTGCTCTCTTGGCACCAGAGACCAGCCCTGAGGGCAAGATGAGGAGCCCCTCATCGCTCAGTATCCAACATCCTCCTCCAGCCCAGCAAGAGCCCTGTGGGGAAGACTGGTCTTGTGTTCAGGCCCTCTCCAGCATAGCTGGGATTGGACCCTGGGACTCAGGAGAGCTCTGGCCACTGGGCACCCCTGAATGGGTGTTCAGGGTGCTAGCACTCAAATGTGGGGGGACACAGGGGGCTGGCAGTGGGGTGCAGGGCTCTGACCCCAGCTTTCTAACCCCCCTTGCCAAGGGGCTGCCAGCCCTGGCAGCATTTGGGCTCTCCATGCAGCATGATGCTGCCATGTGTCAAGGCTGGGAGAAGCCCAGGGGCCAGCTAAGATGGGCTTTCTCCTACATGGCTTCTGCCAGATTCCTGAGCAGTCTTGCCCGCAATTTGCCTGCATCCTGCCTGCACACTACCTGCATGCTTCTGTCACTTTGCCTGTGTGCTGCCTGCACACTGCTTAATCTCTGTGTGCATTTTGCAAGCTTTGTGCTTGCTACCTGTGCTCTCCCTCTCTCTGCCTGCGCTTTGCTCACACTCTGCGACCTGCCCACACGCTGCCTGTGCTCTGTGTCGCTGCCCAGGCCTGCGGCGGGGAAGCATGGAGGCTGCAGCGAAGCCCAGCCTGTCCTGCCACTCCTGGCACTTGCACAGCGCCTGCTGCCCGTGGGGCTGTAAATGTTGGGTCCTCTGGGGCAGTGGAGCCCCTGGCAGGCTCCCCCGGCCTCACCCGGAGCCTCTGCCAGCCCTCCCTGGAGGAGCCAGAGCCACAGGCTGCGGGGGACCCTCCCTAATGTGAGAAGTGAGTGGGGCTCTCTGCTCCAGTGGGAGCTGGAAGCACTGGTGCCCACCATTGACTCATCCTCAGTTTGCCAACGGTGGGGGAGAGTGGCCTGGGAGAAGACCACTGGACCAAAAGATCCACCACAGGGTAATCGCAGGGTTGGTGGAAGCAGCTGGTGGACATCAGGATGAGATGAGACCAGCTGGAACAGGACTGCAGCCAGCCCGGCTTGGCACTTGGGAGGGGACAGGGCTCCAGCATGCTCCCTGCCACCGCTCGGCATCGCAGAGCTGGAGCCAGCACAGTGTCCGACACTGGCTGGAGAAACTTCACCGCATAGCAAAAAGCTGAAGAATAAAAGGATGAGACATCACATGACTTGTCAGCTTTGCTTACCAGACTCCTGGCCACCTTTCAGAGTTTCTTCGATCTCCCTCCCCTTTCCCTCAGGTTTCACTTGGGAAGATGAAGGGTGACAGCTGGAACTACTCCTGGGACATCACACAGTGCAGAAACAGGAGGTGATGAATCAGCTCAGTGTCACCAGAGACAAAATAGACAACATCAATACAAAAATGGGCACACTGAGCCTATGAGAGCCGGGTTGGCATTGAAACCCCTCTCCCTCTGCCATAGAGGCTGTTGAAGAAAAGAAGAGGCTTCCAGGGGGTTCAGAAAAGTCTGGGACTATGGCTAATAAACACCCATAGGTTAAAAAAAGAAGGAAAGGAGTTAAATCCAGGCAATAAAAGTGTGAAAATAAATACAATTAAAGAGGAAATGGGTTGTCACAGACATCATGCAGTCCTGTACAAATCTCTTCATGTCAGTGCTGAAGAACATCAATGGGGTACCAGCCATGATGTTCATGATTGTGAATTAGGGAATAGCCCCAGGCTCCTCTCAGGGAACTTTCTCACTCGGGCAGGCAGAAAAGCTGGGGCTGGTGCCCCAGGAATGTTAGGCACTGCAAGCTCACCCCAGTCCCCAGGCTATCCTGAGACAGCAGAGCTTCACCCAGGCATGAGCCCATCCACGGGCTCCAATCACAGCCCCAGCAAGCCAGAGGAGGCCCACACGTGAGTAGCCTATAGGTAATGCAAAAATCCCACATTGCAGACGCTGACATGCCTTCTGGCAGGTCGCTGGATGCTCCAGCCCAACCAGGCAATAATCATCACATCAGGACAGCCATGGTGTTGTCGGGAATCTCCAAGGAAGGAGATCCCCCAGCTCCCGTTAACTGTCTCAGGTTTGCGCCACTCTCCTGGGGAGGAATTTTCTTCTGAGGTCCAGCCTGAACCTCCCAAGCTGCAGTTGGTGACTGTTGTCCTCATCATGTCATCTGGCACCACTAAGAAGGATTCAACTCCATCATCTTAGTTGTTTGCTGCTCTCAGACCCCCTTCACCTCCTCATGGCCAGGCTAACCCAGCCCAGCCCCCTCCACCTCTCCCGTGTGCCAGCGCCATGACCATGTTGGTAGCCTTCCTCCAGGCCTCTCCAGTTTCTTCACATCCCCCATGAACTGGGAGGCCCACATCTGGACCCTACTAGGTGGAGAGGCAGCAGCTTCCTTCAGGTGCCTGCCCATGGCCTTCCCAGCATCACCCACTATGGGCTTTGCATTACGCTGGAGAAGAGCAACAACAAGCTGGTGTTCATCCTGAGGTCTACCGCAGCCTCCTAGTTCTTTTCAGCAGGGTCCTTCCAGCTCAGATGGGTCAGATGCTTCTTCAGGAAATGTCCTGTGAGGCCACAGGCCATGAAGACCATCACAATGGATGAGGCATTGCCACACCTCAGCATCACAATGGGCTGATTTTTCTGCATGACGTGAGCGTGAGTCTTTTCCAAGCACCCTGCCAGGGCCTGTAGGCTTTCATCCCACCACTGCACTTTGGTTGCCTCTGACTGAAGCACCCTGTGATAGACACTGGTGAGGGGTCCACAAATCAGCAGAGGCTGAAAACCATAAAACAATTTCTCCTGCAGCTGTTGAGTCCCACCAGAAAGATCATATATAGTATAATTTCTTTTCTTGCTTTTCTTAGCTGCTTTCGACCACTCTCTTGGATGTGCAGAACCCTTTGACTTCAAGGAAAAAACAGCTGAACCCAATCACAGGAGGATGTCTAATCCCATGGCTGAGGAGAAGCAGTGGATGAGGCTGCGGGAGATGCGGCAATGGAGCAGGACCTGTCCAGTGGCCACCAGCTCTCCTCTCCACAGGTACCTCCTCCCGGGGAAGCAGAGGAGTGCAGCAGCAATTGTTGCCCATCCTCTCCTCCATCAACACTGTAACACTGATCTTCCCGTTTCATCCCAATTTCCCAAACCGAAGAAGGAGCTGTTAGGTTGGACAACAGCACATTTGTTTTGGCTTGGCCAGCAAGCAATGATAAAAGCAAGCCCATTGCCAACAATTCATTTCCTATTTCAGGCCTTACCAAAAATAAACTCGGAAGGGAAACTCCAATGAGAATGAAACACACATGAAACAACGGGCTCCCAAAATTATATGGGGAAATCTCTCCCTCAACACTCGCTGGGAGGGGGTACAGCAGTGCCAGGGGTATTTCGTGTTGGAGGTGGGATTGCAAGGTCCTTGGGGAGCGCCATCAGCACCACAGCACAAGCCAGGGTTATAGGGATGTAAATATATATATTCAGCTGACACTTCTTGTAGTGGCGTCGTGTGGGTATGTTATACGTGGGGAAATGGCCCTTCCCTTCTTTGCCCCAAAAGTGGATATAATGATCCCTGGTTGCTTTTCCCAGGACACTCAGCTCCAGGAATGGCCAGGCTGGGGGCACCGGACTGTCCCCCAGCCACATGGGTGACATCCTCGTCAGGTGGCACAGGGCTGCTCAGCGGATTGCCCTACAGACTGAGACCCCAAAGAGGAGCAGCCACTCCAACACCACCAAAGTCACTTCACATTCCTCACCACAGCCGTCAGCGACCTCATCAACATCCCTGGAAGACTCTGGTGGCATTTGAGTTGCAGTGACTAGCAGCCTTTTGCAGGCCATCATCTCCTCCTTATATATCCACCCTCTGCCCACCAGCTCTACTCCTGCAGTGGGGCTCAGCCCTGGTCATGAAGGAGCCCACCATGCCATAGGTGCTGCGGTCTGGTGGGATGCCCAGCCCTGGCATCAGCCCCCAGTGGGAAGGAGGAAGCTGCACCCAGTGCTCTGGGGTGCCAGGGGTCCCCAAAAGCATGGGTAGTGGCTCCAGGACCCTGTGCCACCAGCCCTAGAGTGACATGAACACCGTGAACCGGCACCTGCAGCTTTCCTGTGGGATGAGGGTGCCTTTTGGTGGCTGTCTGCACCCTTTCACCCCATGGAGGGCTGCCAGGGGGCTGGTTTTGTCACTGCAGCATTTCCTTGTGCCCAAGATGCCACAAGACACAGGACATCAATATAAATATATACAGCAGGAGTAGATACCTTTTAATATATATATATATACACACACACATAAATACATATATATGTAAAAAAAAAGTATATATACATACATTCCTATCAACTCCAGGAATAGATTTTTTTCTATGTGTACATATACATATTTTCATATATATACACACACACACACTCCTATTTACTCCTGGAGTGCATAATATATGCACTTATAAATATGTAAGTGTGTAAGTAAAAATATATATACCTTTTTATATATGCATTTATATTTATATATATATATATATATTTGTGTGTGTGTATATATACACACATATATTTATCCAAGCTCCGGGAGCTGAAGGTGAGGATGGCCGGGCCGGGCCCCCAGCCTGCAGCATCCAGGTGCCAGCCCCATGTCTGCCGGCCGCGTGGCAGTGCCACCCAGGCACATCCCAACACCAGGCCCTCAGACCAGGTCTTTGGGACCTTGAGTCCAACAAGCGCCACATGGGCATCTCCCTGAAGATCTGGGGTTCAGGGAGCCAGAGGCATGGGGGTGCCCCAGCA